CTGATTTTACTGATAAACATATAATTGTGACAATATAAATGGTTCAATAGATGTTTATTGAATAAAAAAACAACCGATGGCACCACAGGTGGAGATTAGAAGACAGAAATACAACCTTGGCTCCCATTTGATCCATAATTTTTCCTGAATTTAATACTAAGAAACTGTTTGTTGCCCACAGACTAGACCTATGACAAGAAGATTCTGGGTTGAACAGGAATCCTGAGATAAATTTTTCTTAGAAAATCTAGCTTAAACTTTTTGCCATTGATGCTATAACAATTTGATTCATTCATTTACTCATTCATTCAGCAAATTTTAAAACATTTTTTGAGCATTCACAATAGTAGTAGTAGTAGTAGTAGTAGTAGTAGTAGTAGTAATACCAACCAACAAGCAGTGATGCCCACTTGGAACTTACTTTGTGCTGAGCCCTGTGCTGTGTTCTTCGTACTGATTCACTCACACAGTCCTTACAATGGCCCCCCTCAGTGAGCTCCACTGCACAGATGAGAAAAGCAAGGTGCAGAAAGTTGCAAAACTTGCCCATGGTCATGCAGCAACTGCCTGAATTCTAAATTGAATAGAAGTCAGTATGAATTCTAAATGGGATTCACATTCTTTGCTACCCCGGGTTCCCATGGTAAGGATGCCCAAAGGTATGTGGATTATCCTCCGTAAATATTACAATGTCATAAACTGAAAGACTGTAATAGGTCATCCAGGCTTTTTTTTTTACAGACACAGCCTCAAGGCCAGGCCAGGGAGGTGATTTACCCAGCATCACAGGTATAAACTGTCCCCTCCCAACCCTCTGTGTTGTCACTTGGTCTATTTCTGTTTTCACTCCCTACGTGACTCTGAAAACCCCCTTACTTACTAAGTAAACCACGGGATCTATATTATTGTGGAAATAAGAAACCATATGGAAATAATCTTTAAATATGTAATTTTATCTCCTTAGAAATAATCCTCACTGGTTGATAACTTTCAAACAGACAAATTGTGAAGCTGCATAGGGATCTTGGCCTCATGAAAACTAAGCACTAAAACTGAGTTTACAGCTCAGAATTGGCACTGGGTCTCTCACCTCCCTGCCTCCCCAAGTTTCCAGTTATCTTTCAGTCCCATCTTGTCTCTGGCTCTGAGGCCACTTAACAGGCCATTACCAAGTGATTGTACAAGGGAATAGAAGCAAGGTAGGATCAAAAGAATGTTTAGAGCTGCAGTGACAACAGCTACTGATTCAACCTCCTTACTGTAAGCCAAAAAAAAAAAAGGCAGGTCTGGGAAGCAATATAACACAAAACGGAGTCTGGTAACAGAATGGATGAGATTGAGCAGAAGCCACAATAGTATAGCACTGAGTGTCCTGTTAACCACTTTGAACCTCAGTCTCCTCTTCTGCAAAATGGATAATCATAGTCCCTAGTTTTCTGTTTGCCTTGAAGATTACTTGTAATAAAGTATATTGCACACTACATGGCACAAAGCATGCATTCAATAAACATAGCTATAATTACAATATTACAGTCCAATCCTAGTTCTACCCCTTTCATGCACCCACTGATGTTCTCATTTCTACAGAGGAGGATGTTTGTTAAAGCTTTGCTCAGACCTTCATCCTCTGACTTTGAGCTTGAATTGTACCACCTTATGGAAGCCATCAACTCCTGCCAGAGTGAGAATTATTAATTCCCTTTTCCATGCTTTTTAGCTGTGGCCTGATCAGCTTTTATCTCATTTTCTCCCATCTTTGGTTTTGCTTTGTTTATATGCATAGCATAAATTCCTAAAGGTGAGATTTGCTCCTGTACAGAGTTAGTCACTTTATGCAGAGCCGGTACTTGGTGAATGTGTGGACCTTGACCTGCATGCATTTTTAACAATTCAGTTGCTATACACATGGAAAGTATTTGAGAATTATGATTATGAAGTTGGACTGAATTCTTAATAAGCAGTGAGGATGTTGGGTTTTTTTATTTGTTTGTTTCTTAGGGAGGGGAGTGGGCAAATACAAAAAGAAAAGCAAATATCTAGGCTCAGCCTGAGGATACCTGCCATTCACACAAGGCATTTCTGTTGGAGGTCAAAGTACTCTGTACATCTGCCCTCAACGTTGCCCTTGGGGCAATCACAGTGACAACCTTAGAGCCAGGTGGCATCCTCTCATGTACTACCGACAGCTCTGGGAAACAATAGAGTCTACGGTGCTTGTTCAAGCCCCGAGCTTGTTTGATCACCTGTAGTGGGGGCTCCTGTCTGGGTAGGAGCAGTAGGCTTGAGACTGGCTGTGGGAACGGCCACAGGGAAAGGATGTGTTCTGGGGTCCTTTTGTGTCTTGGTTTCTCACTCCGAATGGTGGCAGCAACTATCTTGTCCTCCATGATTCTACCTCCCCAAATTGGATACAAAGTTATTTTTAAAACTGCCAGGACAAACGAACAATGACTGTAAGAGTGAGTTGAGGTGTGCTCAGAAACGGGGCTCCAAAGCAGAGCTAAGGCACATTCTCATTACACAGCAGATAAAATAACAGCACTTGTTAAGAGCTTTCTGTGTGCCAGGCAGTGTGTTTACCATTTTATGTGAAATAATTCACTCAGTTTTTAAAACAACCCTATGAGGTAGTCTTCATTTTACAGGAGGAAACTGAGGCACAGAAAGGCAGAGCCCGGAGTAGTGCTCCCATAGCTGAATGCCCTGGCACCCTCTTAATCATGTTCTGGTCTGTCTTCCTGTGGGTGTCTCTTTAATTTGGAGCCTGGAACAATACTTTACATGTAATATGTGCTAAATAATATCAGTTGAATTGGAGTAAAACTAATAAAACTGGAGCATAGTTTCAGAAATCTCTCCCTTCTCCTCCTTTCAATTCCACCCTCAGTTCCCCTATTAAGTGAAGTATTTGACTTTCAATGGTGTGGCTCCGGTTGGGAACTACAGACCCTTAAGGAGTCATTTTTTTTTCCTATTTATGATTTTAAAAAGAATGTGAACACAGTTTGGACCAATGGGGTAAGTGTCTGATACCAGGCGCTGCTTTGGACTTCAGTGCCTGTGAGTGCTATGCCGAGCCGCCAGCAGTTACCACTTCAGTTCTCACGGTAGTAACAAAGGAACAGCGCAAAGTTCATCTCTAAAAGATGTATTAGACTCTGGTGCTGTTATTACAGTGCACAGGGTGTGAGGAAAGGAGGTGTGATAGCTGGAACAGGAAAGAGGTGAGAAAATTGGGTCAATTCAGGATACCTCACACACCATGACGATGGCAGACTCGCATAGAACTCAAATGTACCCGACCTACACAATCTGTACCGCATAATGCTGGTAGCTGAGGAAACATTACCAATTTACATTTTATAGTTCTGGGAGGAGATTTTTATACTTAATTTATACATTTGCTTTGGTTTTATTCCAGAGTTGTTTAAAAGCGATATCCTAAGGTTATGGCTGGCTTTATTATATGTATATATGCAACATTTTAAAAGAAAATAATTTAAACCAATACTGAGGCAGCATAAAAAGTTTTGCCCTTAAAAGAGTGCAGAATATCAGTTTCCCCACATTTGAGAAACACTATATAATAACATGCATTTGAGGCTTTCCTGTTTAAAACAGATTACAAACACAAACTTTTAGATATGTCTTTAACACTTTGGTTTGAAATAGTATGTGAGACCCTCCCTTTCTGAGAGCAGGCTTTGATGGGAGAAAGGCTAAAAGACTTGATAGAAAAATAGTGACTTCAGTGCTTTGCGGCAATTCGTTAAACCTCTGCAATCCCCTGGGTTCCTTATCTGTAGAATAGTGGTAACCTGCACCTCCTTCACCACAACGGCGTTAAGTGTGAAGCTGGTTCTCAGGAGGTGCTCAAAGTGTTCAGTAAATGGTCATTTAAATAAAATACTGATGTATTTAGGAGAGAATAGTAAGGCTCTACCACTACGTTCTTGAATGGCACAGTCACCCTCCTGGTTGAAGGGAAGACCCCGAATTGTGGACCCCTTGGAGTGACTTTGGGAAGCAGGCCCACTGGACGAGGAGGTGGCTCCACCAGCTGGTGTCTCTACAGAAAGCCGAAGCCCATGGGCTCTCCAGCCAACACCCGATACTGCCTTGTCCCCGTCCTGCTCCGGCCCCCACGCAATGCAGGAGAGGCAAAGCTTTGGTGGTCGTGTCACCAGAATACGGGATTCCGTTCCTTGGAGGCACCTGAGAAACTGGGTGAATCGAAAAGGACCTCGGTCGTCTCTCCGAGGGTTTGTGGGGTGGGGAGCGCAGAGCATTTTCGCCAGGCGGAGGGGCTTCCCTGTGCACCAAGTGTGGCTCAAGTCTCCAGCTCGGTGGATTGGGGGAAGGGGGAGAGGTATCTATCTCTGCGAGCAGGCAGCGATTTGGAGGGTATCTGTCTTTGTGAGCAGAAAGCGGACTCCAGCCCCGGGCGTGCGCGGTGTTGGAAGGGTGAAGGCGCTTGGGTCTTGGGCAGAGCGAGCCCTCCGCGAGAACCGGCGCTGACTGGCGCCCAGAGGCCGGGACAGGCGAGTGCTGTTACGCTGCAGGAACCTACCTGCGCCGGGCCGCGCTGCCCCGCTCCCGGTTGCAACGGGCTGCTAGGGGCGGGGGTGCGGCCGCGGGGGCGGGCGGGTGGCGGGCGCGCGGCTTCAACGAGGGCGGAGGCGGGGCGGGCGGGTCTCGCGACGCGCGGGGGGGGTGGCGGACCCGCCCGCTGTCTGCAGGACTCGCCTGCCCGCTAGCACTTGGTCGCGCCGCGGGGCAGGCATGGGAGCCCAGCGCGCCCTCCCGGCGCCCACACCTGTCTGAGCCGCGCAAAGAACCCCTGCCCCGGCGGGCAGCTCGGCGCGGGTGAGTGCGGGTGCGGCCGGAGCACACTCCAGGACTCTGGGAGCGCGGCGAGGGGAGGAGCGGGACAAAGGGCGGGTGCGCACCGGGTGGGGTGACTGCGTGGGGCACGGGAGACGTGGCTTGGGCCTCCCTCAGGGCTCGAGACCTGGGACCTGCGGCCTGAAGGAGCTGTGCGGAGACTCAGGCGTTGCTGGGCACTTGGAGTCATGCACTGTCACCCGTGAAGCGGATGGGGATTCATGCTATCTTGGATGCCGGGTGGGAGTGGAGAAAGCTGGCTCTGGGCAAGCTCTTCTCTGGAGAGACCGTGGCAACACTCCCACCTCCTGCGGGTGCGCACACAACGCCACCGCTATCACCACCACTTGTTTTCCGTGAGTTTTGAGTATATGTGTGCCAACAACAAGACCTGAACATTAATTGTTAATCCTGGGCACGTGATTGCGAGCACACCTTAGCAAGCAAAAAAGTGCAGGAAACCCAGTTTGGGGAATATGATCTGTTCTGTGGAGTCCTAAGTTGATGACCGTGTGCTTCCCTAAGAAACTAGTGTCTGTGAACAACGGTTGTTGAAAGCAAATACTTCTTCAGCCTGTGGACACTCATCATGGGTTAACTTACAAATAAAAGTTTGAAAAAAATGAAAATGTTTTAAAAGAGGAAAGAGAAGAATTGTTTAGGTGAAGGAAAATTGCCAGTGTTCTTCGGGGAGCCAATCTGGTTTGCATGAGGAGAAAACAGCTGATAAAAATCCAGTTTGTTTTACTGCCCTTTGGGCGACACCCAAGAGACTGCAAAAACAGCCCCTAGTGGGTGGAAAGCTCCCAGTTAGTGTTGGCATGGGACTGACTTCTCCCAGCTCCTGAAATTGAACTTGAGGGGTCCCAAGCACTTTTGAGGATCAGATAGGCCGATGTGACAATCACTTTTTGCATGATGGTGTGGGAAAGAGTTAAATTTATAGTTTGAAGTCAGCTGTGGCCAAAATCGAATGGCAAATTAATATCAAGATATTTAGTGCACTTGTTTCAGGATCTTATTTGTGCATACGAGCATTTAAAATAGACCTTATTGCTGTGTCTCTCAAGAAGTCTCTTAGGAGTGGGTTGGAGGTGGAGTTTGGGGAGGAGAAACTTTGGAAATGCCACACAAAGCCATTATATTTACTTGTGAAAGTGTTTTTGATCATATGCACACTATCTGCATTTGAATAAATTGTTTCATTTGTTTTTGTCCCACTTACATAAAGTGAAGAGATAATCTGTCATGCTTTCTTGTGCCTGAACTGGAAAGGAAGCATTTTTCCAAGGTAACTAATATGGACCTCATTTTGTAACACCGACAGCTCATTCAGGTAGATGATGAATGGTGGGTACATTTTTCTGTCTGTAGCATAAATGCCAAAGTGCCCATTAGTGGACCTGAGAACACTGTTGGTCCCGCTCTGCAGCGTTTAAGAGTCTCAGGTTCTGCTGCACATTGCCTCTCACACATCCCCCAGGATTCAATTCATCAGGCATTATTCATGCATAACTCCTACTGACTCCGGGGAATTTGTTTCTCATGGATTCACCATTGACAGTTTTATACACTCTGTTCTTGTTCTCCTGCCAGGTTTGTTCCAGGTCACTGGGGTAGTTCATTTTGCCTAAAATCTGATAGAGAAGAAGTTAAGCTTCGTTTGACCACAAGATTATATGTAGGGTGGCTGGACTTGTAAATGCCCTTCATTTCTTTCCTGTACAAGAAAGACTATAATTCTTAAACCATTATGTGATTAGGTCTGTTTTCCTTTAACAGATTCTGTAACTTCAGAAAATGAGAGCAAGCCTGTCTACAGAGCTTTGTCCATTTTTAGGTATTTGCTTTAGGAATTAGTATGCTTTCACTGTTCACTACCCCTGGCCACAGATTCCTTGGAACACCCTTTGTCATTCTTCCAACTAGTATTCAAAACTTTATCTTCACAAACTTTCCCACTGTTTCTTTCTGTCATTACTGTTTATAGTGGTCACAGAAGTTCATAGGTTGTGCAATAGTTTATACGTTGTCCTACGCATTAGATTTTCCCTCCCAGCACTTACTTGCTATGGGAGTTTTTCATTCTCCCAAACACTTGCCCTCTTGAGGAAACCTGTGTTGTTGCAGTTTTGAAGACCATGGTGCAGAACTAGAAGAGAGCGTTCTTGGTGCCCAGTCTCCAAGCAGATTGAGTGTTGTTTGCACATTGGATAATGTGCATCGTACCTCACCGTGAGGTCAGTAGTGGGCTTGTGAAGTGGCAGCATCCTCATAAGGTATACATAATTTTAGACAGTGGACAGAGGGACAGTGGCTCACACTGGGTGATGGAGCATGGAATGTACAATCCTTTTGTGAGTCAGATACACAGAGGTGCAAAAGGAATATAGTTTCCATATTACTAAGCATGGGGAAAAATATTTGCCTACCTTAGTTTTCCATTCTGCTTTGCATTTAGGTGAAATAATGCATGAAAATAGTCAGTTGAGAACTTTAAAAGATAAATATGTATATGAGAAATTCGTATCCTGTAAAGGCTTATTCCTAAAAATTAAATGTTGTAGACCTGAATTTTCTTCATCTAGATTTATATATAACGAAATAAGGCTTAGAAATCTTCTTTCCTTTTCTTAAGGTATGAGTTTTCCAGACAGCTCTATTAAGGATAAGGTGATTCATTTGTAAAGAGCGAGAATTTAAAATTATATAACCCATTTAGTTACCTTTCCAGTTGCAAGCTTATGAATGTTTTTATTACATTCTGGAGTATTTATACTTAAATACTTCAGTGGGCATGGCACAGGCTTACCTACAGTTCATAAAAATGGAAACAATAATTATTTATCTTCTGGGGAATTCCTTCTATAATCAGGTGAGCTGAGAAATTCATTGCAAAGCCACCTGCCTAATTTTAAAGCATCTCAGTTACCCTTGGTGTATTATCGATGGGGAAGGGGTCAGGGGGAGGTGTGAGCACCTCAGGAAAGGCCCTCAGGGAGCAAGCATTGGGGTCAGTTCCCTCTCAGGCTTTCCTGAGAGCGTTCACACCCAGCCACCCTCCACTCCACTTCTGAAAGCTGCCCTCTGCTGGAGGCCTGTGTTCCCTTGGACGACTGATCACGGAAATCTTGTCCCCCAGATAAGAAAGAGATAAACATGATAAAATTTCCTTTTTCTTTTATCCAATGCTTCCACCCTCCATAATTTCATTAGTAAAAGCTCCTACCTGAGCAGTAAAGGACAGTTGTCAGTAAACAACACAGTGCTTAACCTGGATTTTTGTGACCCTAGACAATTGTAAAATTAGAGAATCCTGGACCTGGAAAGACTAGAGCTGAAAAGACTAAAGAGGACACCTGGTACTCATAGCAATTTTTAAACCACCCTAAACACAGTTGGTAAAGGAGTGAGCAATTTATGAAGCTGTAACTTTAATACGATGTCAGTTTAAACCCATCTGGGGACTTGAGAACACACAACCTTATTTCCCAATTTCTGGTGAGGTATTTTTAAAAAATGAAACAGTTTGGAATAATTTGATGTGCATTAATCATTAATTTCTAAATGTGAACTAAAGTGGTTTTAAAATCCAGTTTTGCAGCTTTCAGAGTTATAAATAAATTTGAATCAAGATAGAAAATGTTGTCAGGACAAGGTTGTACCCCACAAGTTAATGAATAGACTTAAGCAGTAATAGAAGGAACTTGCAAGCAATGTCTCAAACGAATAGAATTGCTGTTTGGGGGTATTTGAAAAGCTTGTTTTTAAGGGATTAGAACTTCACCTTGCCCTCTGGTTTAGCAGTTCTTTTTTTATAGATGGCTGACATCTTAACTGGCTAAACAACCAGAATTTAAGTTGTAAGACTCTGAGTTGGTAACATTATCTGATACCCATTAGGTAATATTCTGTCTAGAACAGTAATGTTCTGTGGTGGACTCTGTAGCAGCTCTAGTGGATTGTGTGGTGTGTAAGGGTCCCAGAGGTGCCTGACTTAGGCGTCCCTTGTTCTGCTGAAGGACAAATTTGAGCCTCTGTGTTGGGAGCTGGAGTGAAGCTGTGCCTAGTAGTGAGCCTCGATGACTGCCCAGCGTTCACACCCAGGAACAGACTTGTTCTCACTTCTCCATACCCACTGACTCTCACGGACTGCTTTCTAGGAATATCGTTTCTTTTTGAGAGACAGATATTGAAAAACAAACAACTGAAAGAGGTGTGGTGTGGTCACACTTGTGAAATGAGGCATGCTTCAAGGCCTTGGAAAGTGTTTTTTAAACAGGGATTTACTACAGGCAAAGCACTCGGAAAAATGAAATTAGAGTTAATTTTGCCTGAGAGGGGATTAATCCATTAATACAATATTCCCAGGTGGATCCTAGTCTCAGACTCTTTCCTGCCATTCTCTTCCGTGACACTCTTGCCAGTGGACTATTTTAGTGTTTGCACAAATGGATGAAGCTAAAGACAGATGCCACTGAAGCGATTCTGCCGCAGTAGATAATCCACGCTCTATATTCCCAGAATCCAGCTAACATACAACTTTCAGGTTTGGGATTTAAAGATGCATGATCTGGATAATAAATTTGGGCATATTTTAACTGTCATGTTTGTCATGCACATCGGAAATGCTATCTACAACTTATAATAATACATAGTATAATATTGTTTCATCTCCTCCTCTCTTTCTCTTAAGAGTCATATTTTGAAAACAGGAATACTTGGTAGCTTGCACCTCTGTCTGGATTCTGTGTTTTCTGTCTTAAGATAAGCTGAAGTAAAGCTGGCCTACAACACCTGCTGTTCCCTAAGAACAGGCATTAACATCCTCCATGTCAGTCACAGGAAGAAGGGGGAGTGTCCAGGGCTCCAAGGTACAGCCCTGTGGGAGACTTCCCGAAGGGTGATTTTTCCTAGTGCATATCAGGTTTGGCAGGGATTCTGGCGCAGGGTCATTGAGTCACCTGGACAGCAACTTACATAGCAGAAAAGCTGTCCAAGCCCTAGATGTGTCCAGGAGTTGGGTCCGCACCCAGGACGTGGGAGTAATCAGATACAGAGCCATCCCTCATAATCCCCTAAAGGGTCATCCTCACCGTGCCTACCCCACCCATAAAGTTCCCATAGTGGTGGGGGGGAGGCCTCTGTTAGCCTTAGCGACCCCTCCCACATTTACTTAGAACTTCAGTCTTGGTAGTACCCTCGAGGTGTATGCACATGCACCCCATGATTTCAAGGCTTTAGAGAAATAACTAGATGTATTTCCTCCCTCCAAAAGGGTCCAGGGATCCTTCCTGTTGGGGAAAATGTGGAGAAGCAATTTCAAAGAATTAGGAAGTCCCGAGGAATAGGCTTTTCCAGGACCTCATTCCTCTCCTTTCCCATCCCTATTCTCCCTGATGGAAGTAGAATCAAAGAGAAAGAGACGAGCAGAAGGATCCAAGAGGTGGATGGAGCACCCACATATTTGAGAAATACAGCGGGTGGATATTGGGGATCTAGATCGGCATACTCAGCTGGACTAGATCAGCTCAATGGGGGTTTCCAGTCTTCTGTAAAAGAAAGTAAAAGGCACCCAGAGTTGCCAATGGGTCTGTACTGGCGAAGAGGGAGAGGGTCAGAATAATGAAACGGTTTTTCCTGACTCCTGCTGCATTCCACTAGCCTCCTGAGACCTAACCCCTCCTTGCCCTGGTTTTGGGATGTTTGATTATGAATGAATTGCCCTGCTAGGACAATTTCTCTTGAGCAGAAGGTTCAGAGCTGGTCAGAGCTGACTGATGCTTGAACATTCGTGAAAGTGCTACTTCCCATTTCTTTTTCTACTTCTACTACTACTTCTACTACTTCTTTTTTGTTGTTTTTCTTCTGGGGTGATGGATCTCTCTGTAAATATACCTTTCAGGATAAAATCCAAACTCCTTCATTTCATTCACGTAGCGCTTCATAACCCAGCCCTTGCCTGTCGCCTCTGCCTCTTCCTCCGTTCCACCCTGGCTAAGCTAAGCATGATTCCTGAAATGACTCGCACTGTTGCAGGTCTCCCTGAGCTCACAGGCTTGTTTTCTAAGAGTCCCCTTCGCCTGTCTTATGTTATCTAACTTCTGTTCAGCTTCAACACCCACTTCAAGCAACATCTCCCCTGCAGTGCCTCCTCTTCTTACCCTTACAGCTGACTTCATGCCCTTTCTCTGGCTACCACATCATCCTCATTCATCTCTGCGTGCATCATTGAACAAAAGTACTTTCTGAGCCGCCGCAATCCCTCACTCATTCTTCCACTAATACAGTCATTCATTCAACAAATCTGCATCGAGTGCTAGCCTAGTTCCGAATTCAAGGCATTTAGACTAGCTGGACAACAGATGCAAAGACCTGAAAAGGCCACCAATAGTAACAGTCATAATGGGACTCACCCTTGACAAAGGTCCTGGTGGTGTAAGACAAAACCCAAAGGAGGAAGAAATGTTTTGTTAGAGGCCTGACTACTCTGGCACTAAATTTATAACAGTTAAGGGTATTCTAAATTGAAAGCAAAATAAAAAGTCTTAGACCCTTCTGAATGCACCCACTATTTATAGACAATGGAGTCCCAGCACGTGTGACACTGTGGAGCTATCCCTCCATGATGCCTTGTCACTCAGTAAGCTAAGGAATTTAAATTTGTCCTCTACATGGGCAGGTTGCTCTGTAGATGCTCCAAGTTCATGCTATGATGAGAATGAGAGGAAAGAAAGAGAGGAAGGCAGGGGCATGAGAGAGGTAGGAAAAGATGAAGGTTTAGTATGAAGCACAAAAAAGGCTCAAAATTACAGGGAAATTGGGGATGATCCAACAGCTCATCTGGGGATTAGTGCCCCATGCACGCTGCCCTGCAGTGGGCCGTCATTTGGGGCATCTTAAACATAGAAAGGAATGAACACCTGATTTCATTTTGGGCACCTAGCCACCGGAATGTTCCAAGGTCAAGCCCTTGCATTGTAAGTGAGACCATTATCTGGGGATTCCTCTCCACACCCTGATTCCTGAGGAGGGTTCACAGACTTAGAAACAATGACAGGCATGCCGCTGACTGCTTCTGCGGTAAAAAGAGTGCTGAGGCCAGCAGCCAGCCCCTTGCTCCCTCTGACCTTCTTGTCTTTGTTCCCACAGAGTGGTGCTCAGCATGGCGGGGATCCCAGGGCTCCTCTTCCTCCTCCTCCTCCTCCTCCTCCTCCTCCTCGGTGTTGTTGGGCAGGCAAGCCCTTCCGGTGCCCACTGGAAACCCATGTGGCCTGCTTACCGCCTCCCTGTCATCTTGCCCCAGTCCACCCTCCACTTACCTAAGCCAGACTTTGGGGCCAAAGCCAAATTGGAAGTGTCCTCCTCATGTGGACCCCAGTGTCATAAGGGAACTCCACTGCCCACTTACGAAGAGGTCAAGCAGTACCTGTCTTATGAAACGCTCTATGCCAACGGCAGCCGCACAGAGACGCAGGTGGGCATTTATGTCGTCAGCGGCGGTGGGGCCGAGTCTTCGGGAAAGTCTCGGAGAAAGCGGCAGATTTATGGCTATGACAGCAGGTTCAGCATTTTTGGGAAGGACTTCCTGCTCAACTACCCCTTCTCAACGTCGGTGAAGTTATCGACAGGCTGCACAGGCACCCTGGTGTCCGAGAAGCACGTCCTCACGGCTGCCCACTGCATACACGACGGGAAAACCTATGTGAAAGGAACCCAGAAACTTCGAGTGGGCTTCCTGAAGCCCAAGCATAAAGATGGCGGTCGAGGGGCCAACAGCTCCAGCTCCGCGGTGCCTGAGAAGATGAAATTTCAGTGGATCCGAGTGAAACGCACCCATGTGCCCAAAGGTTGGATCAAGGGCAATGCCAACGACATTGGCATGGATTATGACTATGCCCTCCTGGAACTCAAAAAACTTCACAAGAGGAAGTTCATGAAGATTGGGGTGAGCCCTCCCGCCAAGCAGCTGCCAGGGGGCAGAATCCACTTCTCTGGTTATGACAATGATCGACCCGGCAATTTGGTGTACCGTTTCTGTGATGTCAAAGATGAGACCTACGACCTGCTGTACCAGCAGTGTGATGCCCAGCCCGGGGCCAGCGGGTCAGGGGTCTACGTGAGGATGTGGAAGAGACAGCAGCAGAAGTGGGAGCGAAAAATTATAGGCATCTTTTCAGGGCACCAGTGGGTGGACATGAATGGTTCTCCACAGGATTTCAATGTCGCTGTTAGAATCACTCCTCTCAAATATGCCCAGATTTGCTATTGGATTAAAGGAAACTACATGGATTGTAGGGAGGGGTGACACAGGAGCCCTTCCTGCTGCACTTAAAGGTCTTCATGGCCTTATTTTAGCAGAGGCCAAATTGTGTCATTGGGGGGTGTGTGTGTGTGTGTGATGTGTCATAATGTCTTTTACCTAATTTTTTAAATTGCAAGACGACTGGCTTTATTATTTGAAAATGGGTTTGTGTATCATATCATTTAAGCAGTCTGAAGGCATCCTTTTGCATAGAAAAAAAAAGCATACCAATGTTTGGGGCAATAGGGACTCAGTAGCCATTAAGTTAATCTTTTACTTTTTGAGAACTTTGATTTTTATTTCATCTGAAGTTGTTTCAAAGGTTTATATTAAATATGCGGCATATGGGAGAGATAAATTCTCATGTGTGTATATGTGTGTATTTTCCCCTGAGAGCCCTCTTATTTTTTTTTAAAGGCCTAATCACTAATGTTTTCAGGTTGCAGTGTTCCCCAGCACAAAGGACTGTTTGGGACTTTCACAATACTTCAGAGACAGGCAGTTACAATGTTTCGAATTTGAGGCATTTGCACAGTAGTCCTTGATCAGCAAAATAATTTGTTGACTATTCTGGTACACATATTAAACTATATTTTACAGTCAGTCAGTCAGTCCCAAAGCTGTTTTTAGTTTTGAAACAGTTTCCCTTCCAAAGACGGTTGCTCTCCTTCTGGGGAAGTCTTTGCATATGGTTCTGCCAGCTTTGCAGTCACACCAGCGTCGGCAAGATTGTTTATGCCAGCCCTTCCATTTCGTGGGATTTCACTCACGTTTCTTGAACTAGCTGTTTTCCAGGAGACAGTAATCAGGGCCTAATTAGAACAGGCTGTGGTGCTTCCCAGCTAACAGCGCGGTCACACTAAAAACAATCATTGCATTTTACCCCCGGAGGGTAGCACGTCTCGTGTTTTATCATTTGGACGGAGTAATTGAAAATGAATTGAATTCCAGAGAACAATGGGTGCATTGCTTGGCAGATGTCACGACAGAAGAACCGCTTGTTCGGAGCCTGGCACAGTCGCACAGTCTAATCAAAGTCGTTCTGCATGGCTTTCGGTGCGCTTTGGGAGCTGCGTGCTGGTGCAGTTGGGAGACTTTTCTCTCGTGCTTTACTTACTTTAGAATAAAAATGTTTGGAAGGTGCTTTAAGAAAAAAAAACTTGACTTTTTTTTTACGAGCCACAAAGGGGCCTGTTTTACAGGAATACACTAAGCTACAGGCACATGTAATGAAGTATGGTGGCAACAGGGACAAGCGGGAGAATGCGAAGGGATCAGAATCACCACTCCAATAAGTGCCTTTATGAACGTTCATCAATGTGGCAATCACTGTATGTGAAGGAAAGAGTCTGACTTATGTTTTCACTTTTTGCCTCTCAGCCTGAACACTTCTTTTTAACTGTATTACAAACGGGTTACCAGGCAGAGGTTTGCTGTCCCCGTACCCCAGGGAATTTTGGCCGGCCTTGTGACTGTCTGAGAGGACATTTACGTGCAGCACTGATGCCCACCCCTCCTCCAGGGGGCTTTGGCTTGGGTGTCTCTTGAGCTTTCTAGAAGGGTAATCCTGATAAGGTGCTCAAGAGTATAATCCGCAGTGCTTTCTTCAAGTCTCATAAGAAATACCGTGGCATAGCAACGAGACTCAGGGCCGCCAGGAATCTCCTAAGTTCCAGTGCAGTTGCTTTGGAATCTAGCAAGAATCCAGCCTGAGGAAGAAGAGCGGTCTCCATCTCTCTGTCTGGTATGCGAGGGTTCTGTTTGATTTTGCTTTTGCTTGCTGCAAAAAGATGTCCACTGAACACCTGGAATAGAACTGATTTTTTAAAAAATAAATACACCTTGATATCTTCATTTTCAGTTTTGCAAAGTTTAAACTTCCCTCACCATGGGTAGATAATGACACAAAGTCAAAATAATGTCCATGTTTAGATGTACTTTACCAAAGAATTGTAACCACACACTCTATGTAACATGACTCATAGGACTATAAAATCATTCATCAGGTCCGTCTTTTCAGCAGGAGTAAGAGGAAGTGAGGTATTAAACTATCGTGGAAGTTGGAATAAAAAGGAGGAAGGGCTCATGATATTATTAATATAATTAGTGCCTTACATGTATTGGTTCTGCATTGTAAGGATATATTCCCAGTAAGATGAGCAGAACGTTTCCCAAAGTACGTGCCTTAAACACTCATCCCTCCAGACTTTCTACCAAAAATAAAAAGGGCACCATCATCAAGGAGGTGGGAGATGCCCTTCTCTGTTCCCTCTTTGTCAGGGATTCACATGCTTGTTTGCACATTAAACGCTCCAAAAAGTCATGTACTAAGAGACATGTTACTATTTTAAAATCTGCATTTTAATAAACACTTTTGATCACTGAACCCTTGTTTTCTCCAACAGTACTTACAAGCAATTTAGTGTTCCAAGAAATATATTTTGGGGATCGCTGTAGCAGCCTTTGGGTCCAGGCGATGATGCAGTGTCTGATGAGCCCCAAGTACTGTGAGGTGTCGGTGCCCTTGGGGTTTAACCAGAACCCTGGTCCAGAGGTAAAAATGCTCAGACAAAACGGCAGAGAAGAAACTTGAAAATCGTTGGTTGCTGGGTCACACCAGGAGGTTGTGGCAGAATGTGGGACACACTTTTCCCATTGACTTTATCTGGAATTTTGAATGTTGTAAAGGAGCTAGTTGCCCCCTAAAATGGGCAAAAGGGGGTTAAAGAGGTAAAGAAATATGAGCCTGTCAATGGCAGAGTTGTACGTATATTCTTTCATTCATTTTTTTGGACCAGGGTAGATTTTTAAAAACCTGGAGAGGAGAGGAGGAAGTGGAGACACAGAGGCCAAGCCTGCCACTGTGTGTGACTCACCTACCTGCCCTGCGGGAGGCCATGCCCCAGTGACCGCTGGGTCCGTGTGTAAGGTGGTGGGTGGACTCTCTCTAACACCTCCAGGCATCTTCGGTTCAGAGCTCTTGAGGATGACAAGCCTGCACTAGAACAATGACTGTCTAGTCTGACCACCATGTGCTAACTGAAGGGTAAATGACAGCCACCCAGGGTGTCCACAGGAATTCTGACAGCAGGCCTCAGCACTTCCTCTCTGAGCGCTGTCACAGCTTCGGGCCAGAGAGCCCAGCGCATGGTCCCTGCACTTCCCTTCTTGCTTTGTCTGAGTTTCACTGCCCAGGTCTGCCCTTTTCCTAGGCCTCATCATGAACCAGCTCAAGCATGCCTTGAAGTTGCCTCCATCAACTGAGTTCTATGGATACTTGGTAGAGTGGCCATTTAATGTATTATCTAGAATGGGATTCTTCTGAGACTGACAGAAAGGGAATTCTATTGCCAAAGAGGCTAGGATGGCAGGCGTGCACCAGGTATGCCCTGGGAAATCCAGCGGGTCTGGTCTCCTTCATTGGTAAACCCCTCAGAGCACGGTATGGCGTGCAGGCTGACAGCTGTCCTTGTGAACCCAGCAGCAACAGCAGGGCTGCAGCCAACAGTTCTTTCTCTGTGAGCTTCTCAGTGTGGTTCCTCCTGCTTGTCTTCTTTGCCTGGACCAGCACTCTGAGGGCCTCCAACAGGGGAAGGGAATTTAAAAATTCCACTCCGTGAGATGGGGTCTAGAGTACAAAGGTGGAAAACACAACCATTTCTGGCAGAAGCATGATACTCCTGTACTTAGTCCACTGGTTGCCAGAGAAGGAAACAGACCAGCTTCCAGGACAGGAGTAAACGCAGCTGGGAGCTGGGGCAGCAGACCGGTGTGAGAAGATGATGGCCGCGGAGTTGGGCAGATTCCTTCCATAGCTCTGTTTCCTTTCGGTGAATAAATCTCAATGTCCATTAATTTAAAACTGTAAACCCTCCTGTTTCATTCAAAGGTCCTCTCTTTTCTGGGTTCCAGCTCCTCCAATCAACTGGGGTGGAGCAGAGGAGGAGAGAAATTGCCAACATCGTGTCCTTTCCTCAGTGGTTACCACCTCACAGGTAGCACTAGCTCTTCTATCCTCCTTAGCTCTTACCTCTGGTGATGTAACCCTCTGCCTTCTGCTGTTGGGCACCCTTACCTGGCCAACAGCCCCCTGGAGTGGTGAACCAGCAAAATGTCCCAAATGCAGCCATCCTCTCCCATGCTGGCATTTCCCACTGGGAACTCACAGGCTTGCCACCCCTCACTGTGAGCCACCTGTTGAAGATTTGGTGTGTGGGGGGCGGGGAGATGCTTCAGGCAGAGGGACTGGAGTGCAAGGGCCCCTGGCAGGATCAAATTTGGTTTTTTTCAAGAGATCCAATGAACAAAGGGGTTAGAAAGCTATGAATATATAGAATAAGTCATGGGATGTAATGCAGAGCATGGTGACTGTAGTTAATAGTGCTGTATGGTATGTTTAAAAGTTGCTAAAATCTTTAAAGTTCTCATCACAAGAAAATATTTGTAACCATATGGTGATAGGTGTTAATGAGACTTGTGTGGGTATTTTGCAATGTATGCAAATATCTGATCATGGTGTGTGCCTGAAACTAAAATTATGAGGGAGGACCCCCCAAAATGGAATTTATTTACAAAAAAATTGTGTATTACTCCTATATGTCTAAACTTCATTCACCTTCAAAGTACTCTCCATTTGATGCAACACATTTATTGAGATGTTTTGCCACTGCTCAAAACAGTTTTTGAACTTGTCGATTTTGATGCCTTTTAGTGCTTCTGCCATTTTTTGTTTCACCTCAAAATGTTTCCCTTTGAGGACATTTTTCAACCAGGGAAAGAAAGAAAAAGTCACTTAGGATGAGATTGGGTGAATAGGGAGGGTGGGGCACCGGGCTCATGTCGTTTTTTGGTCAAAAGCTGTTGAACACTCAGCACAGTGTAGGCAGGTGTGCTCATAAATCACCCATCATGAAATGGGCAAATGCATTGAAAGAGTCTTCAAAAAAAAATTCACTGAAGCAGAACAAATCCTCTCACAACAACGCCAGCTAGTCCACTGATACAGATGGGCTCCAAGAATACTAACCTACCAGAGAAAGCCTGCACTACAAGGGGAGTGGACAAGATATTCCTGGCTTTGGGGTGGGGGTCCCCCTCATATATGTCAATTATATCTCAATTTTTTTAATAAAAGAAAAATAGTGCACCCAGGTTTTGGTCTGAGCATCCAGATAGATTCCAGGGGCCGGCTGCTGAGATAGGAAAGAAGGTTGGGGAGAATGAAAAATCAAGACTTTTTGCGTTGGTCATGTAAAGTTTGAAATGCCTAGTAAACAGCCCAGTGGAGACACGGAGTTGACAGGCGGGATCTCCAATTGTAAGCCTCAGCGGGGAGACCTCAGGTCAGCAGGTAGACAGCATGTAAAGCCCCAGAGTGAGATAATGTCACTCGGGAGGGAACGAGGACAATGAGGCTTGAGGAGAGAAGAGGGCTGAGGACAGGGTCCTGTTGTTCTCCAGCTTTAGAGGTGGGGTTCACAGAGGAAGAAGAGGAGGAGGAGGCAGCAAAGAGGCTGAGAAGCAGCAGCCAAGGAGGTCAGAGGAAAGCTGGGAATGTTGGCCTCACAGAAGCCTGGAGAAGAAAGTCTGAAGCCAAGTGGGGGTGGGGGAGGGCAAAGGGCAGGACAAGAGCAGGGCGTGTTGAGAAGGTCCCCTGGGTGCCCTGGGCAATGTGAGCGGAGGTCAGGAGACCAGGAGGGGTCTCCTAGCCCTCCAAGCAGAACCTCACCTGCGCCCCCGTGCTCCCGCTGCAGAGCACAGGCTGTGCTCGTCAGTGCCTGCCCGGCTGGCCCATGAACTACGGCCCCCTGTCGAGCCTTGGGACTGCTCTGCCAGCAGCATGTGCGGGGCTCCAGGGCCTCTGCCTCCCTGGGGCCGCCCAGGTTTCTCAGGTCCCTGACAACGTGGGCTCAGGGAGGCGCATGGCCAACCCCTCCTGTTCGGCCTGAGGTTTTCTGAGGGCAGAAAGAGCAACATGACTCTTCAGCGTGGTATGTGTGTGTGTGCGTCAAGTGTGTAAAACACCGAGCGCTTCTTTGTCTTGATGTATCACTGCCCTTTGGCTTCAGACTTGGAAAGGACTAAGGCTCTCTCTTCTGCAAAGAGCCAGGACAGTTTAGAGGAGTGCGGAGTTCCAATCCAATGAATCAAGACTGAAGTGTTTGCGCTGGAGGGAATGAGGAGAATCTCAGAAAATGAAGTAAATAGAGCCAGCGGCTGGAACTGGAGAAGCAGCCGTGGGAACAGTGGCTCAGCCTTGCGGCCCGAGGCACTCTCTGCTCTGGAAGGCCTTCCTCCGCCGTCTGCTCTAACTTCCAGCCTTCCCAGCCCCTGCCTGGGAGTGTTCTTGCTTCCCTGCTTTGTTGTCTCTGCTTAGCACTTAGTCATGATCTCACATAATCCATATTATATTGATTTCTCTTGATTGTCCCTCTCCACCACTAGAATGTAATTTCAAGTAGGCAGGGATTTTTGTCCGCCGTATCCCCACCCTTAGACCAGTGTCTGGCTCATAGGTTCTCAATACACAATGCTTTTTCAATGAGTGTTTGAGCAAATGATCCTAGTGGCTTTGTACAAACTATAACACCTATAACATTTCTTGGGCTTGGATATTTTTTCTGTCCAAGCATATTCCAGAATAAAACTCTTATCTTGTCTTGTACCTATTCTGTTCTGTTCTATTCTATTCTACTCTATTCTGTTCTAGCATGGGTCACATTCCTGTTGTTGTATATGTGTCTGTCTCTCTCTCTACATTCTGTGCCTTGTAAGAGCAGGGACTGAACCCTGCTCCCCCTGCATCTCCATCGTCAGGCCCACGGTCGAGCACAGGAAGTGTTTTGTGAGAAAAATGAATGGATGTCTGTTTTAACTTAGCCCGTGACCCAAAGATGCTTTCCTCTCCCACATCTCACATGTAACCAGGCAACATGCCCCTTAGACACCTGTGGCATCCAGCTCCTTTCCCGTTCCTCTGCCCCTGGCCTTTTGCTGGCCCTTTTCCTGTCTCCTATAAATGATCAGAGCAGAATCCAAACTAAATCCTGAGCCTTCTAGCTCACCCCCAGCTGCCCCAGAAATGTGCTAAAGCAAAGCCCCGAGCAGGTCACTCTCTACTGCACCCTGTTGACTAGACTCCAGCCACTAGAGGATAAAGCTTAGTATTTTTAGCCTCGGATCCACCACCCATCCAGACAAGGATGGTCAGGTTTGTCCTCCACTGCTCCCCAGTCATGTAACCTGGTCTCCAGCAAGTTGTTCTGATTGCATCTGTGTTTCCAAGTCCCTCCTACTACCCATGCTCTGTCCTCTGCCTAGGTTGCCTTTCCCCCATCTCTTCAATTACTCAGTCATTCAGGTCTTCATTCAGTGACACATCCATGG